CACCTAGCTGTCTTGGAAAATCTTGGAATGTTGCACATTGTTGCACGAAAGGCTTCGCAAATAAAGAAATGAGAGCTGACCTGGTCGTTGTGCTCGAATAAGTTCCATTTGTGAATCGGTTCAGAAACGTCCTGGTTCGGCGACGCGATGATATTGAGATTCTCATCACCACTTATCATGGCAGAGAGAGTGTTGTCGAACTTGGTGATGGCATTCATCATATTCGCCTTGCTTTCCTCTACTCGAATTGCCAAGGCGACCAGAAAGAAGTTCTTAGCAATCCCCAGCGAGTTCAAAATTTCTTTGAAGTTCTGCAGGCCAAACACAAAAGATTGGTTGGCCGAGTTCCCACTTGCTGGAATTCAAAGGACATGGAACTATTGATCACAGTCAAAATCAGTTTTCAATGTTCTGAAATCATCTCATTCTCCTCCAAACACATCCCGACTGATCCCGACACATCCCGACGGCTGAGACGCGTTTGGCTTAGAGCTCGTTGGGCTCCAGCCACATCCAACGTGTTGATCCAGGCCTCATTCGTCGGCCTGTCGGAATCATGACTGACAACCGATGTGTACGGATTGGGCATTGTGAAATGTGTGAAGTGGGAAAACAATGGAAAACATTAGCCAAACAATTTGAACCAAACACGGTGTAATTCAGATCTGGTCTTGTGGATTCAGATCTAGTCTGGTGGATTTGTTAAAAACGCTTCCATACATCTGTGACTGGCATTTCTCAAAGTGTGAAGTGCTTAGTACGCTTAGTATGCTTAGTCTGCTTAGTGGAAAGTGCAAGTCTGATGCTAGCCTCAAGATCGAGTCAGTTGAATCTCAGACGTACCTCTTTAGAATCGAATCCTCAATACCTGTCTGAAGAGTCTCGATGTGGTCTTCTGCCCTCAAATCTGGACACCAGACTGAAGAATAAGTGGCAGGATTCTCCACAAGGAAGACACGGGTACCGGGTACCACATGTCCTTTCTCAAAGGCTACATCAACACAGATTGCACCAGGCCTGAAGCCAACGATGCGCCCACCTTCACAAATTTCTTGCCTTGGCGAACATGGCACGTCTTGTACAGGTGTGTCACCCTTATAACTTATGAATTCGGTGGCCAATGCAAAATCTATAAGTTGAAATGGAATGATACCCATCTGAGATACATAGGCTGCTGAGAAGGGTCAAACGTGAATTGATAAGTGCGCATGGCTGCCAGGTATACCTATACGGAAAATTTGGCATACATCCTAGATTGTTCCCATGCCAAATCATGGATGTGCGTCCGTGGATGTCATTGTCATTCTTGTGCTCGTTGGTCACTGAAAACAGAAAGATCGAAGAGCAACATCGAAAAACATGGCTTGGGAGCCAATGGAGTGACCCAAAATGACCCAAAGATACTTGGGATGTGGGCCTTGGCCGAGTTTCTTCTCACATGCAACACAGATGTGATTGAGTAGTCGCTGACCGGAGCTGCAAACGCACATATCTTCTGAGGAAGCGCCCTGACCGAGATTCCATGCGATGGGACAGCCCGACATGGCCCCAGAGCTGTCTAGATCTTGAGGCTTTTTTAAGGCCATTGGAAGATCCAACCGCAAGATCCATGGTACTGTACCATTCTGACGCCTTCTCATCGTCTTCTCTTTCCACAGCTGAAGCTAGACTGTGATAGCACGACTCTGGCTTGAAGGTTTTCATCATTTTCATCATTTTCATCATTTTCATCATTTTCATCATCTATCGGATTTTTCGGATTCTTATCCGCGTCCACACTGCCCCTCCAGCCCGCTTCCCCGCTTCCCCGCTTCCCCGCTTCCGGCCCTGGCCTCGAAGGCGGTTTCGGTGTCTTGAGGACAAGCAGTGCACTGCGAAAGGCCGCGCCTCAGAGCGCAATGACAAATGAAATACAAATGATCATTCAATGATCATGCACTGCAGAATTGCACTGCTGCAGCAGCACTGCATGACCATGCACACTGCATGCACTGTACACTTGCTTATCTTACTTCTCTTACTTATCTTACTTCTACACATCTTGAAACAGATTGGCAGAAGCTTGCTTCCACTGCTCTTCTCACATTTGCACATCGCAGAAGGTGATTCGCTCATGGTTGACATCATCATTGTCCAACGACCAAGTGGCACGTTGGCATAGGTGCCTGTGGGACAATCAAGACACTCTGTCGACTGCCTCTGGTTGATGTACTTACCTGGCGAAAGTGCACTGGGTGCTTGCTTTTGGGTCACTCATACTTCAGCTGTTCCAGGTATGCAGCGCAAATCACTAACCACGCGAAAGTGAACGAAACATTACGAAACCATACAACACATTACACCACACTACGACACATCAACAATACATTAACAATACATTAACGATACATTACAATAGGTTACAATCCCACATGAAACCACATCATGAAACATCATTGAACATGATGTAGAACGAAAAAACTGACCATGTTCCCGGGCCATCCTGGGCCTTCAGAGCATTGAAAGCACCTCACTGATCCTCGCAGCTGCGTGTAGTTCCCCAGTCCACATGGAGTACAGGCCGTAGCTCCTGGTGCGCCACTGAAGGTCCCTGGCGAACAAAGATCACACGCCCCGGACGAAGCGAAAGAGCCTTCAGGACACATCTTGCAGCCATCCTTGGTGCTCATTATCCCTTCATCTGCAGGATCCAAAGGAAACAACGCAAATGATATCAACATGATATTGACAACGCATAAAAACGAAAAACAAGACCATAAAGTGAATCTGTGCGAAGATTTTCTGAGATATCTGAGATGGGATGGGATAATGAAGATACAGAGTTGTCTCAGCTTGATCATGTTACGATCAGTTCGATCCTTCATTTGGAGCTCAGCATCTGTCAGCGTCCAGGTACGACCTGCCTCGCACTGAGTCGTCCTGTCTGGTGGCACCCAACCGCCAGCGAAATTGCAGGTGGTGCCAGTACAGGGCAACTTTTTGTTTGTATCCTCAGAGACAAAGGGACTGGATTACTAAGAATTACACAGCACTCAGGAAGAGCTAAACATCCATTTGTGGGCAACTTATGCAAGCTACTTTTTATGTCAGCGTTGACTCCATGCTGGCAAACTCCATGACTAAGACCACTGTCAGATCAACATAGATCAACGTAGTCACAACATATCACAACTATGAGTACACTTTTGCCCTTCAGCCTGTGATGCACTCAGAGAACAATTGGCAAGATCAGTTGCCGAGTCTCTGTCGAGCTCCAGAGAACATCTGTCTTAAAATCGAGACCATCCTTGCTACGTGTTGAAATCAGACAAGTTATCAAAAGTGTTGCCCGTATCATATCGAGATGTATCGAGTGTATAGCATCGAACATCCTTTTTTCCTTCCAATCAGTAGTTGACAGTCCATATCCCTCGGTCTGGAATTGATCTCAAGGTCAAGAGCGGGATTGAAATACCATGAGTTGATTTCGTCAAATTCCAAAACCCAAACAGCAATTGTTTGTCAGAGGATCGTTCATCGTTCCAATCGCAATTATAGTCATTTGAACCAACCGCAAGGCTATATATAGATATACCCAAAATCCCCTGGCTTATCATCATTCGAATTGCCATAAATTGGTGCATATAGTATAGTATATGCCCCATTTTGAGACACACCCATGTACCATCTCGTTACTTGTTTTATGTATCGCATTAATTTCCAACTGTCACAATGTCCACATTGTTGCCCAGATACGATTATCCTATCAATTTTAACTACAATTCTTCAAACTACCAATTCCATTCATTATAATTGATTATTATTAAACGATATTAAGAGCACTTGTCAAATTGCTGATGAATATTAATAGCGTTTAGTGTACCCTATTTGAAACACACTTACTAATCTTACTATCATCAATCATAATTCATATCTTCACCATATTTGGATGGTATCCCGGACACCTGCCAACGTCAGCCTCCGTTCGAAAGGCCAGTTGGATGAAGGCAGAGTCTGGAGGTCCTGTCACCTGGTGAACATCGCTGAACCGTTGATGTTTGAATCGATATGACATGTTGCTTATAAAATATTATAAATTGTTGATAGTCTCTGTAATTTCACAAAATCATGGGCATATCATATTATAATCTATAGTCTATATGATTGTTGCTGTTGCTGTTGGAATTGTTTAGTCCACGCACCTCACCTGGCGGAGAAGAACAATGCCATCTCGATCGCCATAGGAGGGCGGCGTGGTCTTGGGATCAACTGAGTTGAACTGTCGGACGCGACCCGTTTGTCCATAGAAGTCGATCCCCAAAGACAGCCTCCCAGGTCGGAATCTGATGCTAAAAAACGCACACCGCAAAAATGTGCCATGGTAAATCTATGTTCTATTAAGTCATATTACTTTATAATCGCTATCCTCTTCCTATTCCTGTACTGCCGATATTTGCCTTAATCAAGATCACGCCTCGTGTGTAGCCATGATGTGTAATTTGCTATTACTAGGTGCTCCAAGGGCTGCAAGTCCAATGTGAAATGAACGAGACCAGTGCAAGACACGGAAGTAAATTGCTGGCAATTCTGTGTATCTTCATTTGAACAAACAGAATTGGGGAATGAGTCGGTGCAGGTAGGCAATTTGCATAGTGTCAACATCTGCGTTCGAAGCCACTCGTAGAGGTCTTGCAATGACTGACTTGTGGCCAACTCGCTGAAAGACCTGCAGTAGTCTGAAGCATTTTGTGGCAGTAGAGAATCCCAACAAACTGCCGGTATGTTCAAAGATATCCAGAGAAGGACACGCGCATGGCTTTTAATGCCTCTAGCCTGAATGCCAACACCCAGGGCAATTTGGCATGCCGCTTGCCAATTCCATTGAGGAATTCAGGACTTGGTGAAGTTGAACTGAGGAATTTCAAAGATGTTCAATGTCTTTTATACAAACTATGATGCCACATGCAGAAGCGACGAGATACTAATGGCCTAGTGGACTAGTGGCCTTGCTTCTCAAACAAATCGTTTCAGATCCTTGTCTCAACTGAGCATCATCATGCATCATCCTACCAAAAAAGCCTTTCATTCATTGACCTCCGAATATCAAACCTTCAAAAACCTCACACATCTTTAGACCTTGTGATTGGGAAATCTGGTCTGGCCTGTTCTGAGTAATCAGAAAGGTATGGAGAATGGACGCAATGAGCCACATTCCATCGTAGAAGTAACCTGCCCACTGATGGTTGCAAGATCCCTTTCCATTGGCGAAGCCCTCACAGAGGTTAGTGTATTCGCTGTACAGATCTGCAAGGCTTCTCCCTGACAGTGAATGGATCTCTGCCGTGTTTAGCATCGGCCCACGATCACTGGCGATCAAACCGTACGACGCCCGATGCAACTCATTCACAGTGCAGGGAACCTTTTCGGTTCCAGCAGTGAGCGTGATGTAGTTTGCATTCCACCATCCGGAGGACACAAACCAGTTGAAGTCTGGCGTCAAGATATTCTTTTTGAAGGCTTGGCACAGAAGCATGGAGCCCTCCAGTTCGTAGAGAGCCATCATATTAATCCTGCCGGAATGGTGTAGCTAGGCTCTATAAACTGTGCCGGAAGTTAATGATGTCATACGGTCTGCAAAAGGAACAAACACCCATTCAATGGACCCGTTCCCACACGTACAAGAGGTTCACCATAGCAACTGCGTATATGGCACCAATATGCAGAGACAATCTGACAAATCTACACAAATCTATACATATACAAATCTATTGGATGTGAATTGTTGCGCAACATGTCCTGAAAAGATGTGAAAAGTCTCAGGCTCTAAGCTGTCCTTGAATCCTTGCTGGCGGCCAAATCTACAGCAGCTTGTGCATCTTCGATAAACTCCACTCTGTGGGTAAAGAGCGATGTCCACGAATATGTCCCAGCAGCGTTGTCATTTGCCATCATCTCAAGTAGCAAATCTTTAGCCAAATTGTTAATGCCACGGTAGCCGTAGACAGTTCCAATCCGTTGAAAACCTAAAAACTTGAAAAGCTCGTAGATCGAAAGCACCTGGCACTCGGCAGCCGTGTCCAAAAGGCAGAAGAGCGGCATGTAAGTGTACCCGTCATGAAACAACATGCAATCACATGACGTCACATGTCCCATCCTGATCCATCGTGCATAATCACTAGGTTTGACTCCATGGCTGATGGTCAGTGGATGTCAGTGGTCCGCTCTGCAAGAGATGCGATATGTTGCGATTCAAGGCACATTGAAGCGAAACGACGGTGCCATGCGGGTGAAATATGGGTAGCGATCACTGTTGCTCAAGCTCACCGAAACGCAGCCGGAACCGACCTCACAGGCAGCGGTGACACAAGTGACATTCCAACGGGTTCTCCAAGGCCTTGGAAGCCTTGCGGACCGGCCTGGAGGACCTGGAAATGGCGCAGCGCATCGTTGACGGCTTCACACGCAGCGCTGCAGGAGTCACTGAAAACGATGTGCTTTTGGGGTCCTCGAGCAATTCGGTGTGGAAAGCAACGAAAGCCAAGAGTTTCTTTCAGAACCCGACAGTCCTGTGGTCATGGCTGCCACAGCAGCAGTTGTGGCATCGGGAACCGTGCACTTCGAGTCCTGAGAAAGCGGACAAGAGATGACCAAAGATGCCCTGAGTAAGTACAAGTAGAGGGGGTGAACAAGCGCGAGGAAAAAAAAACACACATGCAGGGGGCAAGGGCAGAAACTTAAAAGTGCAACAAACTGCAACAGAATCATTTGAGAATCTTCTGAGTCGGGCAGTGGATTGTAGAAATTTGATGGCAATGGGGCAAAGCAACAGAAAGGAAAAGCTTGCATCAGCTTGCGCCTTACAAATAGAAATCTCCACCCTTGGGCCCAACACGACTCTGGTCGTGGCCGCGCATCACCAGTAATTAGTTCTCATATTACCAACATGTCCAAGCGGCCACGAGGTAGGCATTGAGCCGAAAACCTGGCAGAAAACTGCTGCTTTCGATGTCTTGAACTGCTTGTGCAATGGAGGGCTCTACCATTGTCATGAGATCGCCGAGACCACCAACATACGGGTTGATGACGGCCACATTGATGTCGACCAGTCCTGAAACAGGCCACGGTCTGGGCTGCCAGGGGCTTATTCTGCGGGTGCCTCGCATTTCCATTCGAGGGGGCTCTACCTCTACCCGTGCAACGTCTTGGCAAAATCATGCCACTTCACGGCTCGTCGCCTCTTTAACCAGTTATTTTCCAAGAGGAGTGACAGAACTAGTTTTTACCTAACTGATAAGCCTTGGGATTTCAGGAAAACATCAAGCAGAGAAGCGTGATGCATCTGTGTTGGTGATGTTCACCTTGCAACCGTTGCCGTGATATCTGCAGGGCCACGACGAGCCATCCACTGTTGCCGAGCATGTGGCCGGACAAAGAGTGGCAGCGCTCATCGTGAGCAACCCAGCGATTTCTAAAACTTGAAGGGAAGCCCCGAAGCGCAGGAAGGGACCTCGCTGGTGGCATGGTGCAAACATCGCTACAGCTTCAGCATTCCAAATTTTTGGAAGCTTGAGCACGCAGCTCAAAAGCTTTGGATGATAAACTTTTGGACAGCAAAACTTTAGAGCCTGAGACTTTCCAATCTGATTTACATGTTTTTTCTGAACAGAATTCTTTAAAACCAATTGACTGCAAAGGTTCACATCTGCAAGTAGTCGGAGGCAGAAACAGAGAAAAGCGGAAGTCCGGTCCAAGTCCCGAGGGTTTTTCCTGCAAAGATGCTGTTCTTGGCCATGTTTTTCTGTACAAGTTGACCCCAGGTCCACTGGACATGGGACACAGGTGAGAACACACCTCGGGATTGAAACTGGCTTGGCCACTGAGCCGAGTTCCGTCTCCCTCAAAACCTGGAAACAATGCTCTGAAATCATCATTAAATCACTGAAATCGTCATTAATCATCATAAGTCATTTATAGATATTTACAGTATTTATAGTTATATAATAGTTGTTTTAATTGGATCTGAAGGATCTGAAGGTCTGGGTCAACCTGGCTTTAGCTGTTGGGATCTTTGGGCCGTTTGGGCTGAGCTGTTCCCAGATCTCAGCGCACCAGGCGCTGAAACTCTTGGAGACAATGGCGGCGAAAGGTCTCCTCCGACGGGTATGCGTCCAGAATCCGTTTGGATGTTTGATGAATCCAATGTAAATATATATGTGTATATATATATATATATGTATATATATATATATCAAATATATATATATATAATATATATATATATTATATATATATATATCAAATATATATATAATATATATATATTATATATTATATATATATATACGTATATCTGTATATGATATCATGTATATATATATATATATTATATATATTATATATACGTATATCTGTATATGATATCATGTATATATATATATATACATGCAGTATATATTATAGTGAGTGGTGTAGTACCATGTAGTAGCTGTACGAATCCAAGATCCTAAGACTTTGAAAACGCGAGCTGCGCGTCTCATCGTCTCAACATGCAGTATCTCACGCCTCCAAAGCAGGTGTCCACTGGACATCCTGGACATCACCGAAGAGACCGCGCGTCTCTGTGGCCCGAGTGAAGGGGCGATGAGTGATGGAGCGCGACAGGCTGATCTCGCCTGCACCCAGGGGAAGTGCGAAACATGGGAGGCACAGCTGAATAAAATGAAATAACATTACATAATGTATCGTAATGTCAAGTAATCTGAAGGAATCTGAATCTCATGTTTCATCCGAACTTCAAATCTCAAAACATCCCAAGTCCCAAGCTGGACATGACAAACTCAGTCAATCTCAAGCCACTGCCTACGGCTTGTGCTGATGCCAAGCAATTGAGGATCACACCTCGGTGCAAGTGCAGCAAAATGGCTGCAAAATGTGGCCACAGCCATTGTCACAGTTGTTTTCAATTTGTTTTTCCAAGGTATAACCACAATACGCCACAATTGTTTCCACAATTGTTTCCATCACAGTTCTTGTTCCTCCCCCACCTTCTATGACACTTGGCTTTTCCGGATCGGAGCGGTAGAGTGCCGAGGCGATCTGATGCAACGTGCAACCAGCGGCAGCCGCCACCTAGTGATTGAGTGGTTGACCCTTCAGCCCACGATTTCTGGGTGCATAGAAATGTATCGGAAAACGTCGTAACGTGTTTGTAACGGGTGAGCTGATAGTGTATCAGAATGATGGTGAAATCTCCACTTTGACTTCATTTAGTAAAATCCTCAAAGTTTTCTTCCGAGATGCAGGGTCTGGATGAGAACAGCATCCCAAAAGTGAAGCGACAACAAATGATACGAAACTGCACGTGTTAATATACTGTTAATGTGTGTTTATGCCATAAAATCCTCACAACTGGAGATATGCAGCGAGACACCTGCAGCCAGAGGGTTGACAACTCCAGCAGCCGCAAGCAAGGACGCTCTAGGCCAAGTGTCTCTGCCAGCATCCTGGGTTATATTGCAAGTGAAAAATCCATCCATTGTTTGTTGGAGAACTTATACAAACATCCCACCTATCTTCCCGATAATTTCGGATGATTAGCTGTATGCTTTTGTCACACTAAACTTTCTAAACCAAAACCGTTTGCCAAGTTTCTTTGCATCGGCTTCGCCGTCCAACTCTGCGATGTACTTCAGTTCTTCCGGGCTGAATGGTTCCTGGAAACGAGGCTTGCTGGACATCTACTGGATCTCTTCATGGAACCTTCATGCCCAGATTCCCAGGCTCATCTGTTCCCTCAAAGGATGCCATGTCGAATCAGTCGGGTTGTTGGGACTATGGATCAATATCCTGGCAAACTCAATGCACCCAGTACCCATGCAATTCAAACAACCGAAATGTAGAGTTCAATTGAACAATGTTGAACATCATTTCAGAATTCCGAGGTGTTGTGCATATGAATATTTTATTATCGTCAGATCTCACCGCTCCCCAGCCTTGCACTGTGGCCACGAAGCCCATGCGACATCGTGCAGGGGAAAGCAAAGTCGATCCGGCAAAGAGCAGCCATGGTCGATGGGCACTAGCCGCCTCCTGCATCAGCTGCATCTGATTCCAAAAACGAAAACGGTTTCCTTTGATCATGTTCATGAAGAACACGAATTTGATGGTTGGAAAATGTTGGAAACCTCAATTTGTCAAGTCTTGCTTAAGCTCCTCCCATCGACGTGTTGCACAAGCCTTGGAGGATCAGCAGAGATTTGACACAACCAGAGACAAGGAGGAATTAGATTGATGTCCAAGGCTGCCACAGGTCCCCAAAGTTTGGAAATGGACAGATACAGTTTCAGCCAAGAATCAGATTGCCCTGGTTTCGATCAAAGTTGACCTTGGTTCACACACTTATTCCAACACCCGCTGGCTGCAGCTACACTTCATTTCATTGTCAGTTGCAGTTCAAACCCTTCCCTCTTGCTGTTTTCTCTGCTGTTTCACTTTCTGGTTTGGGCGAGAAGCTATCCGAAGATCAAGGATGCCAATGCGGTGCACATCTTCAACGCTATAAGAAGAATATCCAAAGTCTTCAGACGACTCCGCATCCACAAAAGCCTTCAAAGGCGAAATGAGTTTGACATAGTTTGACGAGAGATGCACCGGCATCGAATAACAAACATGTGTAATATAGTTCTATTTATATACTTTGTTACAACTTTGATAGTCGTATGGTCGATCTCTTGTTTTGAACATCGCTTTCTGCAATGGTACAACATGCATTTTGCATTTTTCCAACTGTTTTGTTCGATGTTTATTAGATGGCAGGTGTCGAACAGCTGCCTGGAAAGCTCCCAACTTCCACACCACAGAGGGTTCTCCATCAATCTGCACTGGCACAAAGCCTGGTTGCGGCAAGGAACGTCCACATGTCTAGGGATGATTCCAGAGACAATGGTTACAGTACTTCACAGTATGATTTAGTATGACACTATAGAAACTTAATGATGCGACTCCTTGATATCCAAAAAAGGGCTGCAAACCAAAAAATCACTGGTACGACATACGTATAGTCGCCTTAGCTCTTCTCCAGACCCAAACAGTGTTCTTCAAAACTCTCCTATCCAACAGTGCTGTCGTTCACTTGTATCCAGTGGCGACCTCCCTGATGACCCATCACCATTGCAACTAAGCGTCTTTGGTGCCGGCAGCGAGCTAAAGTTGTCGTTGGCACCTCTATAAATTCTACACCCTAAAGTCATTGCCAGCAAAACAATGCAGTGCAGCAGCTATCAAAGTCAGAATTGTTTTAGCGCCCCCACCGCTTGAAGAATGGTTCTTTGTCTTGATTGACCACTTCTGGGCCATCACTTCTGGGCCATGTGCTGTCGCGTCCGGCAACGGACATGCTGGCCATCATCTCACTCCTCACTACCTGCCTCATACCGTCCAAATTCATAGCAAGAGTTCTCTCCACGGCTTCGACCAATCGTACGCTGTCGTTTGACTGCTGGGCCCAAGGGCTACGAAGGTCCCGGGAGCTGCTAGGCTCGGAGGGCTCACAAATCCACAGGTATCTCTTGGCACCATCATGTTGGCTCCATGGAAAACTTTTGCCCTTGCACTGAATGGAAACCATGAAGAGCACTACTTGTGAAGCAATGAAAGCTGCGAGCTGCAGAATACCTGGCACGGGTCGCCTGGAGTAAAGGACCCCAAGCTGTAGCATCAAGGTCAAAGCCATGGTTCCCAACGCTAGCAGCGCTGCAGCTTTTGGTGTGAGCAAATTGCAGGGGAGCACAGTGATACGTGTGAGATAGTTTAGGCAGGAATGGGCCCGGACCCTTTCAAACATCACATCTCCCTGTTCCTTCTCTGAAGCGTATTGCTCACTGATCACTCCGATGAAAATGTTCATCACGAAAATGGAAAAAAACAGGACACCACCGTAGAGCAAAAACAGTTCAAGGTAGTCATCCGGCGGATGCTCGGGCAGCCCTTGGGTTATCAGGGAGGTAAAGCTATACCAAAAGGTGTGCGGCCACAAATGCTCAGGGGTCACTTGCACAGCACACATCGCATGAGAGAATGCACAAAACCCTAGGATGGTGAAGCTCATTGCTGGAAGTAATCCATGAGCCAGCTTTTTGAGGGGCAACAATGCCACGCCAATTTGTTTCGACAGAGAGACACCTTCAAGCAATCTCATCCAGTACATCAGAATGATCAAACATTGAAGCAACCGTGACTGATGCTGCCACAAAGCATAATGGGCAGGAAACTTCGAATGAGATCCCAAAGATTTCCCAGACGACAGTAGCTGGTTGGGTCTTTGCGACAGCAGGCTGCAAACTGCACAGCTTCCAGCAAGACGTCGACAATTCCTTTCGCAACAATCCAATCTGCGACAATTCCATGCCCATCTGCCAAGCTGGGTTTCAAGGCCACAAAGGCTTGGTCAGTTTCCACAGAAGCCTCGTGCGCCATCAAGGTCTCAACGACTAGCAAGCACAAACCCCAAGAGGAGGTCACCGTTTGGACGATATCCACCCACATGGAGCCATTCCAAAATGTGAACCAAACTGCACCACGCACCGGTGCACATTTGAAAAGGAACATGGCCTGCTGTTGTGTTGTTTGGGCATCCAACACTGCAGAGAAGAAACTGGGAGAGATTATGTCTGGAATGTGACATACTTGGATCCTGGCATCAAGCATTGGCCTGTCTCGGACATCCGTCAAGTAGGTATGCCATTCCGGGGCCATCCTGTAGGAGTCATTGTAGATCCAGTCAACCTCTCAGGGGCGTTCCCACAACTTCGAAACAACAGCCACTATATAGGAACAGCAGTTTGACTGTGGGGTTGGCTATTGGTTGTTTTTCTCTAGTTGCGAAGCAAATCGCGTCGACCAATAGTATGAAAGCAAAAGGCATAGCAAAAGAAGATCATGACAAACCTTTTTTGAGGCCATCAGAATTCAGCCCGATCGTCCGTGGGGGGAACCGGCTGGGATAAATACAAGCCCGACATCGTCGCCACCATTGGCGATGGGTCCATCCAGGTTGAACCGGAATGAACCACCACAGTAGCACCCACAGCTTAAGTTTAAAGAGTTGCAAACACAATGACACCTGGTAACAGCTGTAATCTTGATTCTCAATGTTTTCTCTAAATTACTGTTTTGGATTGTGGAACTTGCTCGTTAATTCTCAGACCATCTAATATAAGATTAAACGGGAGCAGGCGCTTCTCCTGGTGAAGTTTGCTTGGCAACGATGCTTCGCTACAGTCATCCCGCCCGGAACGGGCAAGCACCGTCCCTGAGAAGACGACACATTGTCACATTGCAATCAAGTAAGGCCGTTTTCACAGATGCTGAGCGGCTCAAGAACACACTGCGAGCCGATAGCGATAGGGAACCGAAAGGCTCAGAATTCACGCTTCACCTGCACATGTTCTGTCGTCGCACCAGCAAACTCCAACTGATGGCTTGTGAAATTTGAAGTGCTGGAGAACATTGGTGCAGAACCTGTGGCGGTGTGTACGCCGCAGTCCATGAGCCCTAATTTCGCCATCAGAGTTTTGAATTCCTATCTGAGCCCCCCTAAGAACACCTGAAGCCGTTGCCAGAGTTGCCGTCTTTTGCATCGGAATATTTTGCCAAATGCCTGCAACCCAATGACTTCTGGGGCCCTGCTGGCATCAGCCTGCACGCACTGGGCAATGGAATTGCGCCATCCACCTTCCACTCAAGTCTAGCACATGGGAGCAGGTGCATCTTGAGTGAAAGGTTAACATCCCCAGCGTCCAGGCGAGCCGGTGAATTTCGGAATTTCGGATTGCGTCTTAAGGTGATAGCCGTGGGGTGTCTGAATTTGCTACTGCTGAGCTGACTTCAAGAAAAAGTTTGGAAACTTTCATCGCACTCACACGTCATGAATCTAGCAGAGGTAGCTGTAGATCATTTGGCCATTGTGGAATTGGATTTCGGTTTCATCAACAAAGGCATTGGGGCCCTGCAAGCGTAAGCTGCCGTGATGCAATGGAAGGGAAGAAGGAAAGACAATTCCGATGAGGTTGGAGTGGAGACGGCACAAAAGATGAAGAACCCAGCCAAGAACACCGGACCAGCCCGACAAAGCCGACTGGAAAGGGCATGGCGGAGGACTTACATACAACATTATGCTGCTACGCGACGGAACGTGAATATAGAAGTTGGCCACAAAGCAGTGTGGCACGCAGCCATTCTTCTTGGCTGTAGCCGTCAGCAGCACATAGCTTGAATTTTGATCTGCGACGTGGGTGCGAAACATTTTTAATTGCTTGCACCAAGAGCTGATATCCTTTGGGCTCAAGAAACACGTGCATGCTCCATCACAGAGGACGCAAATCTTTTTCTGTGCTGCCGGTAAATTTGTGCCCAACTATGTGGCACTCTAAAATCTCGAGCCCTGGTTCGCTCAAAATTGTGTACCGCTTATCGTTTCTATGTCTTCTGCTCTACGCGTTCTTGTGACAAGCCGAAAGGTAGAAACACTTTCTCTTCAAGCGGCTATACCACCAAGTCCCGTGTCATCTCAACTGTATTGGTCCTTTTGATGGGTTTGAATCATCCCAAGCACAATTTCACAGCGAAACCCTGCTTGGTGGGATTCGGGATCCACAATCAGAAGAAACATTGTTGCCTCAGCTGCTTCTCTTGCATATGTGGCCAGTCCAAGCTATCTAAGCTTTCCAAGTGGGATTCGGCCTTTTGAATCATCCCAAGCAAGGTTTGAGAGCGAAATCCTCCTTCGCGGTGGGAATCCTTCCGAAGGTGCCCGGATTAAGGCCTCTGATTGCCTAGGTCTAGAGGTGCTGGCGATTCAGCTGTCCTGTGTTGCCATGTATTTGCATCCAGGGTGGCCTTTGAAGCGTCTATTCTTGTTCCGGCATGCTTGCTTGTTCTTTCAAGCTCTGCGTAACAAGCACGAAAAACAACAACACGCAACTCTTAAGTTAGGCCCACCGGCACTCCACAATTCCAATAGTCTACGCAAAGCCGTTTCAACAAGATGGAAACCATATTGAGGAACCATTCGAATACTAAAGAGTCTGCAAAACAAATATGAGCAGCCAACCCACATGCATTAGTTTGCAACAGTGAAAACATAAGCTCACACCATTCCGTCTCCTGGGCCTTCAGCTTGTATTCCTCCTTCCGTCATATGCGGTCTAGGGCGCACGGTTTTCGTGCGCCTGGCGGCCCTTTGGACGCCCAGCTTCTTCATGGTTTCAGTATACTGCCGGAAAATCCTGCTAGTCTGTGCATTCCTGTTTGGGGTTGTATTCCAGCTTCTGTCAAAAAGATGCCTCCCTTGCTTGCAACCACCGACCACTATTGCGGAACCAAACGCTAGTCGCATGTCTTTGCTTTGGGCCTGTATTTCAGTTCCTGGGGCCTATACGGACGCGCGCTTTTCACGTGCCTATTGTAGGCGCGCGCTTTCTTCGTGCCTGCCGGCCCGCACGCTCTCTGCGCGCCTGGGGGGCACGCTCTTTGCACGCCAGGGGTGCGCGCTTCTTGCGCACCTGGGGCGTGCGCTTTTTGCGCGCCTGGTGTGGCGCGCGCTTTTTCCGAGCCAGGCCTGGCGGTTGGGTATTTTTGTTCTGTTTTGTGCTAGAAATGTGTTTGGTACCTGCCGCGTATGTGCTTGCTCCCATTTGGTTCATGGTCAAAGTCGTTCTGCAATATCGTTGTCCAGGCCGACGTCCTCGGGCGTGCTTCCTTCCAGCACCCTAAGAGCCATTTGCTCCCTCGTCCATTCATCCTTCTTTCTGTACCCATCTCTTCCACCGCCATCAAATTATTCGGTAATATGTGTGTATATTATTGATTATATTTATACATTCATTTATTTATTTATCTATTTGTTTATTTGTTTATTTATTTATTCTTGTATTTATTTATTTAATTATTCACGTATTACTATCTGTATGTGTAAGATGCTGCCTAAACAAAATCAAATATCTAGAGCCACCTCTTCCACTCCGTTCTGCTCCCTCACATCCACATCCGTGCTGACATGCAGTTAAGCGATTATGGCTTAGGTATGTAGAATGCCCATTGACGCTGCACGTCGGGAATTGATAGATCCATGGTGAACTTGCGGCCTGCGGCCGGATGCTGTTGGTCCCGTGGGGCCAAGAGCTGTCACAATAGAGCTCCAGAATGCTAGACCGAGGAAAGAGTACTGAGAACATTTACCAGCCATAATGGGATCGTAATCCGCACGTGATGGCTTTAATAATGGGAATACCATGAACAATAATAATAAGATAGTCTTGCTCGCATCTACAAGGAATAACAGGATGACAAGCAGCCCGATATGGTTGGCATATATGCCTAAGGCCTATCACGAAATTGTAGCCAACTTGCTGATATATCATATGAATAGATAGTTCCTCACATTGACCCGCTCCATTCATCATTCCAGGCAATCATTCATTCGAGGACCTCAAAATCCATGATGCCGGTTCTTGTTAGTAGGCGTTTTGCGTATATACCCAGCTGATATACCCATACTTGATCTCCCCGTTCATTCGCTCTACAATCCGTAATGGTGAAACAAAAACAAGATTGGTTTCCGACACAATGACAACCCCAGTTTGGCTTTTGGGCACGCCCCTGCCTCTGGAGTGTAGAAACATAGGCAGGGCATTTGAAACTTGACCGTGAACTCTCGGCAGGCAAAACTAACCCTGGCAGGCATGGGATGTCTTCCCTCACTAACCACGAAAGGTCTAGCCGTGGCGGCTTCCAACACAGAGGCGGCAGCCTGCGGAAAGTCGTTCAGCAAGGTGGCCAGGTCTTCAACCGTCACGTTGCCCAGCTGCTGGGTCAGTTCTTGCTCGCTCCAAAGCTCCTGCAGGCGCTTGGCAAAGCTAGGAATGCATTCAGGTGCGCGGTGGATGAAGGTCCTGAAGCTCAGCATGGTGGGCTCTGCTGATTGGGCCAAAGCCTGAGTATCCATTTTGCAGCACTTGATGCCGATCTCCAATGGAGTCGGCATCCCCTGATCAGAGTGGAAATCGACCTCTTGGTCGGCTTGTTCCTCTGCATGCCATGCACCCAGTTCTTGCAGGGCTGTCTTGTGGTCGTGTACAGCCTTGTGCACTGCCCAGATGGTCTCCTGGTTGCCCGTTTGAAAAGCCACATGAAGAGGTGTCCGCTTCTGATGATTCTGCGACATGATATCAGCCTTACTCGAGACGAGGAAGGCAATTGTTGAATCCTGGCCACCAAATCCTTCCCCATACACAGCAGCATCCAACACATTGTAGAGCCTCTTGCCGTTGCGGTGCAGTGTGCTCTCAAGGCTTGCACCGTGGCTCAGCAAGAGTAGGATCACTAGTTCATGCCCTCGGCTAGCAGCGAGGTGAATGGGCTGGCCATACGTCAGGCTTTGGGAATGGCTGCTTCGATAATGAAATTCCGCGCTGACTGAAGCACCTTGATCAAGCTGCCGCTCCATCGCGTCCAGGTCACCGTT